ATTGTTGGGGGCAATATGCTGACTCTCTGTAAACCGCTTAGAGAGGCCTGAAAGGCCTATGAAGCGGTATATAAGTCTACTGCTATTGCTAATAACTCCCCACGAAGGGCTCCGTCTGTGTCCAGACCAGAGTGTGTGGGGGGGGGGGGGTGAGACAAAGATAGAAAGAGAAAGAAGAGAGAAAGAAAGACAAAGTGACTATATTTGAGCCCAAAATTTCGGTTTCTAAGCAAGAGTGTTGTTAAGTGAGTTTCACATTTTACAAGTTGGCCACGCCCACCCGGTCACATGACCAAGCCACTTCCACAAAATAGGCCACGCAACAAACCGATAGTAAAAAAAAATTGAAGCCTCAGCAGTGCCGACTAGGGGAAATAAAACCATTAAATGTGGACGCAGGGAAAGCCTTTCACCAGCGCGAGCCGCAGTGGGGGCGCCGCAAGGGAAGCGGTCAAGAAGGACCGTGGGGTTAAAAGGGTATCCTACGGGGAGCTTCACTGGGAAGCATCCTGGAACCTAACCACGGGGGGGGGGGCGTTTCCCCCCGGCCCAGCGAAGCGAATGGAGCTCCGAGCGGGGTTTGCTGCTTCCGTTCCTTCATCAGTCCTTCACTTCGCGACGGGCGTCCGATGGCCCACGGGAGAACTACTGCGCAGGCGCCGGAGGATGAGCCGGCGCTTACGTGTTCTGGTCTCACCCGGAAGCGGTGCATAGCACCATCTCGCCGGAAATAGGCCGCACCGCAGCCGAGCTTTTCATTGTCGGCTCCCGGCCTCCAGTCTTCATGGGGAGGCCGCTCGGCGGCGGCGGCGGCGCCGGTTTGGAGAACGCCAACCCCCTGGTTTACCGGCGCCAGAGCGAGCGGCCCACCACAGCGCGCGAGCAGGATGAGGGGCTGCCCGACGCCATCGACGACCGCGAGATATTCGATATCCTTTGGCGGAGGCCCGGGGGGAAAGGGAGGGGGGGGTCCCTGGCGCAGCCAGCCTTCCTTGACGGAGCACATCTCATCCGCGGCATCCACGACCCCGAGCACCCGCTGACCCTGGAGGAGCTGAACGTGGTGGAGCAGCTCCGCGTGCAGGTGCGGAGGCCGAGCGCGTGAGGGGCCCATGGCTCCCCGCCCGGCGCCGCCTCTGAGCCCCCTTGTGTCCCCTCGCAGGTGAGCGACCCCGAAAGCGCCGTGTCGGTGGAGTTCACACCCACGATCCCGCACTGCAGCATGGCGACCCTCATCGGCCTCTCCATCAAAGTGAAGCTGATCCGGTCCCTCCCGGAGAGGTTCAAGGTGAGCGGCGGGGAGGGGACAGAGGAGCCCCAGCCGGGGGGAATTGGGGGCTCTGCTCCCAACCCAGAGGCGCTTCCTCCTGGGAATCTCTGGCAGTACTCCCTTGGAGAGCCAGCTGCTTGCTGATAGCCAAAATTTCCCTACCTGGTGTTTGGTGTGGAACTCTAAAGCAACGGTTTAGACTTAAAGAGTTTAAACTTAAGAGCAGGAAATCAGGTGCTTTTTTTCTTTTGCACCCGCCATGGGTCTCTCCGTGTTGCTCTTTTTATTGATAGACTAAGGGGCTTGAAGGGATCTGAAAGCTCATGCTCAGTGCAGGATCTTCAGGTGACCCATGATCATCCAGCAAAAGAAGAAAACACCATGTAGTAGCCTATTCTGCCAAGGGGTGGTGTATATAAGTCAGAAAGTTTCTAAGGTGCAAGTCACCTTCGCTTCTGCCATCATTTTTTCCCTTGGGGTAAGGATATGTGCCACATTGAAGTTGCAGCAAAAAAGGATTTTTTTTTGAAGTTCTGTTAGCAGATTAGATTTTATACAGTCATCAAGGTGGTTACAATCCTCCATTATTACTGTTACATACGCCATTGAAAAACTGGTCATCTTATTTATACAGTTGTGTGTGTGCGTGTGTATGAACACACATGCCTGGAGGTGGCTTACAAATAATAAAAACCACAACCATTAAAAAAGAAAAATACATATAGCATATCTTTAAAAATCATTAAAATCATAACATTCATAAGTGAGGCAATCACACTTGTCAGTAATTAGTACAATTTATGTACCAACTTTGCCACATTTCCCGGCTGCCATACCAATTGGTAAAACCATGTTTTCAAGATCTTTTCAAAGACCAGCAGATTCGGACTGATTCTAATCCCCAGGGGAATGATGTTCCAAAGGGTGGGCAAATTGAACCTGGATGCAAATTGGCTACCAGTGCACCTTGTGGAGCAGAGGTATAGATTGTGAAGTGCACATAACTGCACCCAATGTTGAACTGCACTTCAACTGAAGCTCTCACATCCTTTTCAGAGGTAGCCCCATTGTAGAGTGACTAAAACATGAGCAGGTCGAGGAATGAACAGAATTGGCACACAACACACAGTTGTGGAAAGGCCACAGCTGCTGCCACTTGTTCTTTGACCAGAAGGACCTCCAGATTGTGCCCAGATCCCATTTGGAGTAGTGCAACTCCATCTGGAACAAGAGATGGAAAGTACCAAGAACACTCAGCCTCTCTTGGGCTGAGCTGAGCCGAGCCTGTCATTCCCCATCCAAACCCTGACAGCCTCCAGGCACTGAGACAGAACCTCCAAGCATCACTTAACTGTATATCATCAGCCTAGTGATGATAACTTACTCCATGCCATTGGACACCCACGCAGCAGCTTTATGGGGCTGTTAATCAAGAGGGGAGAAAAGGACTGGGTCCTTGCAGAGCAGAGGCTGAGAGCAGAACCTTTCCCCTCCTATCAACACCAACTGGAACCAGTCCAGGAGGGAGGAAGAGAACCAGCTCAAGCGAGTACTCCTAACTCTTGGAACTGGTCCAGAAGGATACCAAAGCTAATGCTATTGAAAGCTTCTGAAGATCAAGAAAAGCAAGGAGGGGCACACTACCCACATTTCCAACACTGTCCCACCTTTCTTTCCTTTTGAATGAACCCTGACTTCCATTGCAAAGTGCCTTCCCACCATTTCAGTGATACCCATCACATCTTGGTCATCTTCGTGGATTGGGATCCTTAACTCTCCCTTCTTATTTTCCATATTCATTTTATTGGAATAACCAAGATTTTAAGTTTCAGGTTTAGGTTTCAGGTTTAGTTTATTTGTATGCCGCCCTTTTCCGGGAAGGACTCAGGGCGGCGAACAACTCAAAAGGGGAAAAGGGGACATAAAACAC